TTATATTCAACAGAGACTTTTCCAGTATGACGTTGACGATTCAGTGCCATTTTCTTTTTAAATAAACTGTGTATAAAGTATTGAATATCGGTATGTGTGAAATGTATAAGTTATACGCTTGTTCGATACTTAAACGAGGCCTCGACAGTCAGCGTCTTATTTCTCATTTTTTAAAAACACAATCAGACCTCAGTGTGTATCATTCTATCGCTCTTAGTTCAGAGCACGTAAGGAAAGATAATAACATAGACACAAATACAGGAAAAAGATGAAAAATAAAGAATGTACGTCGCACTATGTATGGTTCAGAGATCGACGCGAGCCGAAAATTCCGGATCTGGCCCGACCGAAGCTTAAATTTATCCGGCCGGCCCGATACTTCTGAAAACTTTCGAGTCCGGCTCGATCACTCTTGAAAATATTCTTGATAAAATGGCCTTCTTCGTCTGTTATGTTACCCAAAAACATTCTTGATCCGGCCCGGCCCAAGCCTGGCCCGACCACTCTACAAAATTTTCTAGTCCGGTCAGTGCTGACCTCTGGTATAGTCAATATCGTTGTTTAACTTCTTGGCTATGATTATTGCAACGTATGATTTTTACAAGTGAAAATGCTCTGTAGTTGTGTTATGGATAAAACTGGTTTTCTCCAAAGATGAACTCACACTCGCATATCCAAAAACAAAAAGCACCGTATCTGGATATGCCTTCAGTGTACTATATCTCACTCGGGATATAAAATTATAGCCTGAACGGGATATCGTACGCCGATCAGGATATACTTTTATATTCTGAATGGGAAATATATCCCGTTCGGGCTATGAGACCGGACAGTAGATGATGACGCTGATTCCGCATATGTATATCGCAGCTACCCTTAGGCTTTTGTTGGCTTTTTTCTGAAAACTGGATCTTCAGAAAACCAGTGACCATATCCAGAAAATTTTTGTGAATCGACAATTTTGTAGATGACACAAAGCTGTCAATATTCCATAAGTTTTAGTTTTTCAAAATATCATTGAACGGTGGAACGGTGCTATGATTTTTGCCAAGTATCCTACTGGAACATTTTCCCATTAAAACCAACGTAGCCACTCTTTTGGGAAATTTTCCTACTGTGTTGATTTTTGTTTTGAAATACTAAAACTTATGAAACATAGACAGTTTTGTGTGCTCTACACAATGACCCATTCAGGAAAATTTTCTGCATATGGTCACTGATTTTCTGAAGATCCAGTTTTCAGAAAAACAGTCAACAAAAGTCTAAGGACAACTTCAGTGTTCATATTCGGAATTAGAGTCACCAATTACACGTAGTGCCCCTAGTTTTATTGAAAAACGATTTGCAACTTGCACTCTTTCTCGCGTAAGTTCCTGTCAATAAATATAAAAGAAAAGAAAAAAAAAAGAAGTTCAGTTTTACGTATGATCGCAGTTCTTGGATACCTGACAAACATGATCTTTTTTCTGTAGGCAATAGATTTAACGTTCTGTTACTCATGTACACGTTGTATCTTCCCTCCTCAATAATATTTTGTTTGTCAAGTCAAACTTCGTAAGGCGATCTTCCACTGTGATAACGCCTTCTCACTTGATGGTAATGGCAGAAAGTGCTGGTTAGACTAAAAATAGATGTGTTGAAGAATACAAAATCGCAGTTAATCAGTGAAATACTGATAGCACAGATATATCTTGACGTGGCCAAAAGGGCAAGCATATCCGGCAAACATTTATTTATTTGAAATAGAATAGTTCGATAATCTTCAGGAAAAAGAAGTAGTTAAAATTACGCTGTCTAAAACACGAGAAACAAAAACACAACAAGCGTTAAGAGTTTCTTAGAACATGTCTACAACAATGTGTTAAATAATGTATTGTTAGGCATAAACTAAAATTCACTTGACGTTATTTAAAAAACTTATACAGCATTCAAACACAGTCATAGATAACCGTAGATATCAAGCTTATATCTCTTTTTCTTTATCTCTCCAGTATTATTATTGTTTTTTTCTTCCATTTTCTTCTTTTTCTATACATGCAACAACTAGAGATGGGTGGAACCAGCCTTTTTTGGTCCCGGTTCCGTAGAAAATTGTTTGGTTCCGATGAAAATTTTGGCCATAGAACATGAAAAAATTTTCCTCCCCTGGCGGAAAGTTCAATACGACTTTTTACTATTGTACTGCGTTGTAGAGCTTCCTACGACCTTGCAAGAAAAAATTTGACGGTAAAACGAGTTTGAATTTAATTCTACAACGAAAATTTTAATTTTATGGAACCAGTTTCCTTGTGCCCGGTCCCGATCCCAGTTCCGCCGGAATCGGGACCGTTCCGCCCATGTCTAACAACAACATCATACTACAATTTACTCTTCTTTACTCTTCATTGCTTCTTCTCCTTCGTTTTTTTCTACTTCTTTCGTTTAGTATTTCGATATGAGTGTGTAGAATTTATACAGTCAGTCTTTATGGAGACATTCTAATCCTGAGTGTAAACATCATTTACGCTAGTCTTCTCTTCTCTTGGTTGACTGAACGATACAAAAAACTGACATAAGAATAATTGTCTAGCTGCCTGATTGGATTCGCGTAAGAGGCAAAGACTTTCTAACAGATTTTACCACAGTAAACAGTAAGACTGCAGGAAAACTTCAAAATACAGGAAAAATAGGACAAATGCGAAGCCTGGTAGACATTAATGTTGTCGGTTTAATATTAATTATCCCGAAAACCTTTTTTTCCACATACATTTTTTGCTATTGTTGACTATTCATCATGATTATGTAGTATTTCAACTAGGATAATTTATCTACGTACGATGAGACTTTTGTATAATCATCGTCATCGTTGCTATATTAAATTTGAATCTACCAAGCAAAATGGTTTATTTAGATGAATGCCTTTTCTCTATCCACTACTAAAATTTCTTCATCCACTACAGTTGATAAACAGAAGCAAAAATAAAAACCAAAAGAGAAATGTAATAGATAATGATATTTTTTATATACATAAATCTATTCACACGCCCATTTTCCATCCAAGGAACTCAAAGCAATACCAAATGCTTGAATGGCACACATTGGATATTTGTAATCACATGTAAATGTATCATCAGATACACGACCAAACTGCATTATAACATAATCTTCTACAAAAAAGATCGAACAATTTTTTGTAGCATAGCATAGACAGCAAAATAATTTAACTTTACGTACGATTATCATTTTGTACAATTTGAAAATTTTTGACTGATGCTTGAGTAACACGCCCGTGGAAATTGAGAACATAGGATTGAGTGTCTAAAATGGTGCTCAAACAAACATCAAGAGTATAAAAAAGTAAAAGATATAGATTACCTTCATTCCAAATTGGATATTTATTATCTGTATAAAAATAAACAGACAAAACAATTATAGAGTATTATAACACTAGTTTTAGTGTAGATTGATTACGGCTTGTCTAGCTAACGATCACCTTCAAATCAGGAGGTGGGGTGTAAAAACTAACGCAAACCTATATGATCAGGTAAAAGAGCAAGTTAACTGGTATATGAAACTTCTACTGAAATATCCTAAAAGACACAGTATGTGCCAGAAATGATCCGCTTAAAATGTTCAGCCAATACGCGAAAACCGAAGATGACTCATCAGTTTGTCTTCTTTGCTTATTTCATTCTTTAATCGATGACATGTATACTCGAATTTTAATATCTGTGAGTAGAAAAAGCTGTCTTTTCATTTGGTGACCTTTGCGAGCTCTGTAACGGCCTGTAAAAGAAGCTTTAAGGCTATAAAACTATCTAATTTTTTTTGGTGAAAGTCCGTTACAAAAATGTCAAAAAGTGTTATATAGTCTCGTTTCGCTTTCTGAGGGAATTCAGATACAGATCTAGGTAGATCCGGTCAAGCGCTATCTAATGGATTACTTTTTATTGCTTCTTAGTTGAGTTTTCAGAGAGAAATGTTTAAAATAGAGTAACAGAATATCATGCTGCTCAAAGTTCGTATCTCAAAAGGTACAGAAAAGAAAGTTACCGTTATTGTAACTGGGTGTTAGGTATATAGTACTCTTTCGTGCGAGCTTGTAAGCCACGATAATCAGTTTCTAGGCTAATACTGAGGTTGCGGCTCCATAATTCAGTCGCTCATCCTCTGGTTTTTCGTGTAAATTCTGTTTTTAGACAAATTAAACTTATCAAATCATACATTTTTCGTTCAGTATGGCAATACCAACCACTAACTGAGAGAATGAAGAAATATAAAGGAAGAAGAAAACATGATAACCCTCACCGCATAACAGCACAAATAGGCTGGAAAAATGCAGTGGAATTCAGAGTTTAGATAGAATAATAGAAAATTCCGTTAAAAGCGTAAAGGATTGAGTCAAGTTTCTAGAGAAATGAACGGTATAAGCTTTATTCTGTGAGAATACAAGCGGAAAAATATTCCATTATAGTATTCTAAATTAAAACTATCGAAGAACACAAAATCAATTTTGTACGAATAGAGATTCAAACATGTGAACTTAGCTTTGCAATTAACTGCAACACTAAATTTATTGTTCTGTATCTATATTCTGTACAACGATTGATGTTGTGCAATCGCCTTGATGTTATTAGTAATTTTTTTGATATGTTGAAACTCTAAGTTTTTACGGACTGCATCGTTTCAACTGCTCTGTGGAATGCACATCTCGAGATTTCTACAGGTAGAACTCTGCAGAGGGAATTTACCTCCCGTATGAAAACATGAAAAATAGCATGAAATGCCATTAGGGACATATTTTGCCTTTTTTATTTGATCGAGGCCTCTAGAGAGAAAATCAAATAGATATTGTGACAGCCTGAACATTTCCCTACAACTTTTATATCAAACACTTCTTTCCAGTATGTCTTTGTTCAGAGCAAAGAGGGAAATTCGAAAACTCTAGAAAAAACGTTCCATTTTTAGAAATTCCGTTATGGTTCGTATTTTGGCTGTAAAGTCTGAGAGACTTAATGAAATAGGCTCAAACTATTTTTGCCACGAAGTCGTCTGACTCTACGTCTTCAGTAAAAATTTCATCATTATCTGTTTAGAGTTTGCTGAAATAGAGGATGCAAAAGACTAGAAAATGAAATTCTGTTACATCTGGACAGGCCGTTTAGGCAACAAAAATACTGATATGATTCTACAATCATTGTACAATAAACAAACTACTCACGTAGTTCTAAAATATTTTCCTTATTGTTAGTTTTCCATCTTTCATATATATTTTCTTGTTCTACATTTGCATTAACTTCGATATCTTTACTAATATCCGGTATTAATATGGTCATTTTACGTGGTCCTTTAAGACCGAATGGATTTGCTTCCTTAAACAAGTGTAATTAGTAAATAAAAGAACAGAGAAAAAAAACACCATACAAACATACATAACAAACAACACCCAGTTCGTGTGGTCGTTTTTCAATTGGCATATCATATTTTGAATGGGCAACCTGCTCGTAAATGGTGAACTGTGTACCCATCATGTTACTTCTAGAAAACAAAAACAACATTTTTAAATTGATTCTTTTATCCAAAAAAGAAAAAAAGACTTAATTCATTACTTTAATTTTCCTATGTATGTTTCAGCATCTCTTGATAAATCTGTAGCATCTGTTGATATTAAGTAATTCGACGTTCTACTTTTCCAACGTTTTCGACCGGCTAAGATAGAAAACTAAATAGAAAAATAAAATTATTTTTATAATATTGATAATAATAATTATTATACAAAAGATAATACAAACTTTTCTTCCACCGTCTCTTTCAACATGCATGTAATACGTTGGAGATAAACCTTTTTCAACTCCATGTTTATCACGTTTAATTTGACAATGTATATCACCAAGACCATTTGGTGCCGGTTGACGAACAAATTGATCTAAATTTTCAGTTATTAATTCAAATAATCCATGAAATTGTGGACTAACGAACGGTTCAGGTGTCACCTAAAGTTGTGAACATTAATCTATCAAATTCGATTTGTTCCTTGAAATTCTTTACCGTGCATAATTGTTCATTATCATTAAAAAGTGAAATATGTTGTGATTGTCTTTCACTATCCGAATCCGGATTTCCTGTACATAAATTATGTTGAAGTAAAAAATCGTTTTGTTCATCAAAAGTATCGTGATGTTGTTGGTTATTATTAGTTAAATGATTTTGATCTTGTTGTTCTTGATCTTGCTGTTGTTCGTTACGTTTGTGTCGACGTTTATGTCGACGATGAGCTATTGTTTCCTCATTCGATTGTGATGGTAGTGTTGGTATTGTACGTTCACTACGTTCTCCTAATGAAAAATTACTAAAAATGTTAATGCTTAATTTACATTTATAATAATAATAATAATAAAAAAATTAGTAATCAAATAAGAATTATCATCATAAATTGTCTACAATTTGAGTATCATTCGTGGTATTAGTAACAATTTTTACAGCAAATAAATGAGAGCTTACTTTTTGTTTTATTAATTGTTATTCAATTTGTGATCGACTGGATCGCCTATCGTGGATGCGGTATGGTATCCGATTTTCTGAAAGATCCACGATATTCACAGTGAGCCATGTCAGTGGAATTTAGTCAAAAAATGAAAGTTTATGTTTATTTTTATTTCAGATAATTGATGATAAATTTCCAACGATCGGCTATGTTTTCCTCAAAAACGTTTTTGGTTTGAATCACATATTTTCGAAAATACTGAAAAAATTAATATTTTATGAAATTCGGGCTCTTTACCATGTTAAACATTTATAATTCTAATAATGAAACGGTTTGTACTGTCCAGCCGCTTTCAAGTTCGGAGCATGTGTATTAGATAGACCCCGGTGAGGTATAAAAAACCCCAAAACGCTATGTGCTGATTGGCCTTCCTCCAGAGTTACAGTCATTATACTGGAATTTTAGCCTGTTGCATGGTATCTACCAAAAACACTAATCACGATATTTCGACCTGAAATTTTGCCCACAAGTAGGCCTACTTGTAACTAGAATGTTCTGCAAATTT